TTGTGATAGTTAAATCTTCAACCTCATCAAGACCTAAGAAGGAAAATAACGACACTAGGGTAGACAGGAAGTGCAGATGGGCAACTTCCAAAAGGTGCAGTGAGAACAGAAACAGCAAGCTACCTGGACAGTCACCCAAGGTCTCACAGCAACGATGGTACACCCAGTTTTGGCTAAGGCCAAGAGAACGTGACAGACCACAACAGCAGGGAGGAAGAAAGGCTGTTTTACCCTGACTTGGCAAGGTCCAGGAATCTTCTATATGTGTCTCCTGCAAGCACATAGGACTGCATCTCCAAATCAGTGGTCAAGGTGGGGGCAGTTCTTTAGTTCTTTGCCCAAGAGGCCATTAGCTGAGGCAAGAATGGGCTCCAGCAGGAGCAACAACAGTGTCCAACATATTTTTGGGAAAGTTCACGGTGCTGTCAGGAGCAACAGTGTCTCATGTCAATGGAGAACTAATATTAAAACATTGAAATGCCATGTTCTGCATGTCTATGAAGTGATTGAAGATTAAGCATCTATGTCTGACTAATCTCATAGGTAAAGGAAACATGAGTGAAGATAATCTGTAATACTCAGGAACTTAGCTAAAATACTGATTAAAACTTCCTTGAGTAAAGCAGGGACAAATACCTAAACAATATAACTATGTACATATACATACATATAAATCCCTAAAGTAGAGGTAGAGTAGAAATGTCTAGACAAGAAGTAGAACTATAAAGGGCAGCATGACAAATATCCCAAATTGTATCAATTTGGAACACAAGCAAAAGTATACATAAATAGAATATGGCAAGAATAATGTGCATAAAACATCATAAGGGGAAAGATTTCACACAATATGACAAAATATAATATACCATTCTTCCGGGAAGGGAATATAAACTTAATTTTACATAACTTACCACAAATAAGAATATATAACAATGTAAGCTGTATAATACTATTATCTCACTCTTACTAAATAATTCACAAGAAGATAGGCTAATCTACCTATATCCTAAGCCATACCTTTCCCAACCATACCCTATTTCTGTCCAAAAGATAAACCCGAGTCTGTATCCCACTACACCCATGTCTATTGCCACATACAAAACTCAAGTCCAAATGGATCAAAGACCTGAACATAAATCCAGCCACACTGAACCTCTTAGAAGAGAAAGTGAGAGGTATAGGAGACTGCTTCCTGAACATAACTCCTGGAGCACAGACAGTGAGATCAACAATTAATAAATGGAACCTTCTCAAACTGAGAAGCTTCTGTAAGGCAAAGGACACAGTTGACAAAACCAAAGGACAACCCACAGACTGAGAAAAGATTTTCACCAATTCTACATCTGACAAAGGGCTGATCTCCAAAATGTAATGAGTACGGTTTTTCCTCCCGCCGCCTGGTCTGGTCTTGCCACTGCGCCAGCCCCAAATAACACACTGAGACGCTGTATTAGATATAATTCTGTTGGCCTGGTTACTTGTTTCTTATCGGCTAGCTCTGCCTTAATTATTAACCCATATCTGCTGATCTATGTATTTCTCTTACCGGGGAGCTGGCCAGCATACTGCTTTCTCCCGACTCTCCATCTTAGCTCCTCCTTACTACTTCCTATTTCCTCCTTGTCTCCTAGTCCCTCCTATCTTCCTTTCCTATTGGCCAACAGTGCTTTATTATTAACCAGTATGAGAAACATATATACATAATGGCATCTCCCACCACCAAAATATACGAAGAAACTAGTCAACAAAACACCAAATAACACTATTAAAAAATAGGACAGAGGACTGAAGAGAGAATTCTCAATAGAGGAAATAAAAAAGACTGAAAGACACTTAAGAAAGTGCTCAACATCCTTAGCTACCAGGAAAATCCAAATCAAAACAACTCTGAGATACCATCTTACTCCTGCTAGAATGGCTAAAATTAGAAACACCAATAACAACTAATGCTCGAGATGATGTGGAGGAAGGGGAACACTCCTTCACTGCTGGTGGGAGTGCAAACTTGTACAGCCATTTTGGAGATCAGTATGGTGGTTCCTCAGCAAAATAGGAATCAGTTTACCACAGTACCTGGCAATCCCCATCTTGGGCATATAGCCAAATGATCCACAACCATGCAACAAGGACATGTACTCAATTATGTTCATAGCAGCATTATTTGCAATAGCAAGAACCTGGAAGCAACCGAGATGCCCTTCAACTGAAGCATGGATAAAGAAGATGTGGCACATCTACACAATGAAATACTACCCTACAGGGGGGGAAAAAAAACAATGGAACAATGGAATCTTGAAATTCGTAGGCAAGTGGATGGAACTTGAAGCAACCATCCTGAATGAGGTAACCCAGTCACAAAAAGAGGAACATGGTATGTATTCGCTCATATATGAATTTTAGACCTAGAGCAAAGGATCACCAGCCTATAATTCATACCACCAGAGGAACTAGGATAAAAGGTGGATTCTAAGAAATTCATATAAGGTCCCTCACAGAAGGGGGAAGGGACAAGTTCTCCATAGCATATGGGGAGTGGGGTGCAGTGAGTGGAGAGGGAACTGGGAGAAAGAGAAGGGGAGGAGAGGAAAGCACATGGAACTAGGAAGATTGAGCCACAGGAGGAATAAAAGAAAGAAGAGAGAGGGAAAGCGAGCGAGAGAGAGAGAGAACATTAAAGAGGGAGCCATTATAGGATTGAAGAGAAAACTGAACTTAAAGAAATATCCAGAGACCTACAAGACTGACTCCAACTAACAATTTGAGCAACAGTAGAAAGGCTACCATAAATGCTCTTCCCTGATAATGAGATCAACGACTAACTTATCAACCATCATGGAGCCCTCATCTAGTACCTGTTGGAAACAGAAGCAAACACCCACTACTAAACACTGAGCCAAACTAGAATCCAGATGTAGAGAGGGAGGACAAGACCAGGCTGCAGAAACACATAGAGACAGCTGACCTGAACAAAGAGGAGCTAATGGGCCCCCAGACTGATAGCTGGGAATCCAGCATTAGACTGACTCAGACCTCCTGACATTGGTCTCAACTAGAAGGCCTAAGCAGTCCAAGGGACCTCAGACAGTGGAACCAGGATGTATTCCTGGTGCACAAAAGGACCTTGCAGGCACATCCCCCATGGAGGGATACTGCCTTAACCTAGAGACAGGAGAGAAGTCCTAATCCCTACTTCAAATGACTTGACAGATTTAGATGACCCCTACTGGAGGGCATCTCCCTACATGTGAAGTGGGAGGTGGGTGGGAGGGGAGGGTGGGAGGGGTTCATGTGAGGGGGAGAGAGAAGGAAAGAGGGAGGGAGGAAGAGGGAATTGGGATCGATATGTAAAATAAATAAATAAAATTAAATTTAAAAAAAGGAAAAGACAAAGCAAATACAATAAAATAAAATAAAATAGCAGCAAACAAAACAAAAACAAAAACCCCACAAAGCATAGGCTTTTGGGGATGTTATGCAGAGTGACATTGCTGTGTGTAGTGGCAGGATTAGAACCCAGATCTCAAGAACACATAGTCTTAGTGTGTTTATTAGAGTGGGTGTCTTTGGAGGTGTTTCCTTCTTAAGTTTTGAAGCACAAGCATTGTGGTTGTTGCAGCACAGGTGTTGGGTTCACACAGATCCATGGAAATAAGACTCAAGAGGCACCTTAAGAATGACTATAGCCTTTCTCTCTGCCACAGGGCTGATTCAGCCTCTAAGAACTAAACCACTTTCCTTTTGCACAGGGCTTCTCTTATTGCTCTCCAATTTTACACCTTAGCAAGTTGATTTCCATATCCTCAAAACAATCTGATGAAGCTTCCAAAGGGACAATGCCAAATGCAAATTCTCGACTCTGGAGGTACCATAGTCTTTTGGGATTACACCAACCAAGTTTTGTATCCTTGAGAAACTCTCAGGCAAGAATTGCATATAGGGCAACAGAGGAAACAAAAGGTATCTGCTAAACAAAAGATGAATGAAGGCTAGGTACTCACATTCTGGAGCCTAGGTGCAGCCTAGTGGGAATGCACCCACAAGTAAGGACTCATTCCTAGGCTAGCAATGCATATATATATATATATACATATATATATATATATATATATTGAATGTATATATATATATATATATATATATATATATTCAAAAACCAATAGATGATCTGGAGAAGAATTTTCTTTCATATTTTGTCAGTGACAGAGGAATGGGGTTGTGGAGACATGGCAGAGCTGAGACAAGTGACTCAGTGGCAGAGCACCTCCTCAGCAGGTACAAGGCTGTGGATCCCATCTGTGGTACCACAAAACCAGAGGTGGGGGTAGCAGAATTTTACTTACCTATTGAGGAAAATATCACTTTCTTTGGAAATGTGATAAATGATGAATTACTATCGCCTTGTAAAGAGACAAACATCTGGATGAAGAAAAAGAATCCATACTGGTTTATATAAGAAGTGAAGATTGCTAAATAGAAAGGCCAAATGTAAGTGCCAGTGCTTACTTACTGGCCAGGGTCACCTAAATTGGCTGCAAAGAATGAAACCAGGCTTAGGTTGGAAGGGTCACAGTAAGACTGAAGCTGTGACAATTTTATTGAGAGCAATCAGACTTTTTACACCTTTATCAGAAACAGACTATAATGGTAATTTCCAGGATCAATACAGTTACAGTTATCAGGAAACAATGAAGGTTGAAAGTCATACAGGATACAAAAGATTAATGTCTAAGACCAATTGTCCAATGGCGCTTCCATGCTTCCTTGACTAATGGAACCTGCAGAGAAACCTAAAATGGCCTAAACACTTCCCTGCCTGAAGGCACAATGTACCCAAGATACATGGTCTCTAATCTGAAAAACCTATGGCATATGCTTCTCAAGACAGCTAGATCAAGGCAACTAACTCCAGGGTTTTCTGTACCCAAAGATAGAAAAAAAAAAAATATGTTGAAATGATCTCACAGAGCTCAGATGTATGAGATACACCAAACATAGGACCACCATGCTGACATGGGTGAGGGTTTAGGAGGGTGGCCCACAAACTGTCATTGGCTCTGAACATGCCATAGGATTAAAATATGGATAAACTGCATCAGGGAAGAAAGGTTCATAGAATCTATAGATGAGAACTCCATGGTTGGAAACATCATAAAATGAGAGAGTGCAAGCTTCTCGGTCCAGGAAAACTCCAACACGACTGGGAGGATGAGTCAGAGAGAGGACCAAGACACTTGAATTGTGGGTGACAGAACGCTTTTCAAAGGCATTATATACGGACTTATTTCTCTTACCTATAACCCAGTAGCCATGTTTAGGCTGATAATTTACACGATGTTTAACAACAGAATTATACATGACTTTGAAGCGCTTTTTATTCACTGCGTGAAGTTGGGGTTGAGCACATCTTCCATCATTTAATCCCAGGAGCCAGGCATCACTTTTAGACACGTCTACTTCCCAGTAATGTTTCCCTGAGTGGATAGCTGGGTATCCCAGGACACCTAAATCATAGGTCCCAGAAACATTCAACTTTCTTCTGTTTCTTCTATTGTTCTTATTTTGATTTTGTATTTGTTTTTTGTCCACGTTAATGATAACATTTTTATTGTAGACTTGAGGCAGTGTCACATGAACTGCAGAAAATGAAACATATAAGACATGAGAGGCAAGGTACAGCCTTTTTTGTGGTGTAAGAGGCAGAAGCCTAAGGAGAAACTGAGAGGGAACTTGGAGGAGCCGTATTTAAAGTGAAGGAGAGGCAGATTGCTATGTATACTGGCAGAAGTAACAAGAAACATTATGATAAAGAAATAAACTCTAAAAGGCATTAAGAAGAGAGTGACATATAGTGATGTGAATTCTCCTTACCCCAGTAGCGCTGGGCATCCATGAGCTCTGAAATCATGAAAATTCACAGCATTAAATGGAAGCAAAGGAATCAAAACATTAAAGTCAGTCTTCTCTTCAAATTTGGAGAAGGATTGCAAATTGTGATATAGGATGGGATGGATGATGATTTCCTATTAAATATGATGACACCACCAGGACACACTATCTGCTCTTCTGAGTCCCTGTACCCATGTGCAGAAACATCATTCTCTTCCCAAGATTATAGCCCCAGCCATCCTAGAATCCCCCAGTTAACCATAGAATGTGGCTGTTCTCACCGTAAAACACTTCCAACATGCCTTTCAGATCTGAAGCTTGGAAGATCCTTCTCTTTTTTCTTGGGACCATTTTGGGCTGTTGCAGTCTTAAGGTCTGACTCCTGGGGACAAAAGATTGACCTCTACAACTCAGACAGTGTAACCTTGACCACCACTGACTCCCTATCATTCTGATAATAGATATCTTGTAGCTCTCCAGAGAGTTTTAAGAAGGGAAAGAGAAAGTAGACTACTAACTCTGTAGACATAAAAGACACACTCATGACCACCTCCCTCCCCACTTACTTGCTATGTGATGTTGGGAAAGCCTTAATTCTTAGGAGCAGAACTCATTTATACAGTCAAACTACTAACTCCCCCATTTCCTTTCTTCCCTCCTAGAACTCTTAAGAAGTAATGAATTAGCAAATTTTAAAACAAATCAAACTAAGGTATCTGTCTGGATCAGGCATGAAGTCACATACTTTAATCCCTACACTCAGAGGGCACAGGCAGGTTGATCTCTGAGATCAAGACCAGCATTGTCTAAAGAGTGAGTTTTAGGCAAGACAAGACAAGGAAGGAAGGAAGGCAGAAAGGGAGGGAGGGAGGAAGAAAGGGTTGGAGGGGGGAAGAAAGGAAGGAGTGAAAGAAAGGAAAGGAAAGGAAGAAATTGTGAATTTTCAAGGACAAGAACAACTTAGGGGGCAGTATCTGCTCCTAGGTAATAGTGTTAGAAAACCATCTGGAGAAAGCCAAGACTTCTATCACTTTTGTCAATATGGACACTCTTAGCCAATGTCTGAATCTCCAAGTTCTTTTTTAAGATGACAATCTTGGAAAAGAAACAGGAACATCAAACTAATGCTGACATGAGCCCCATATGTTCAGAACAAGCCTGATGCTGACAGCCTGGACGTGACTCTTTACATACAAGGGTACAGCTTTCCAGTCTTCTGAAGTATGTGGCTCACACAGAGCAGCTGTGCCCACAGACTCAAGTCTGTTTTTGAAAAAGCTAAGTACAATCACAAAGTCACTCTGGATCCTTTCCATCCCCATGAGAAACACACAGATCCATAGTAAATTCCCTTTATGCAGTTCTATGAACACTGTAGACAAGGAAGGCACACCCTATCTAGGATAAATCAATGAATAAAGTCTTGTTAACTGCAAGCAGAGCCAGACACAAGCACACAGCATGGACAGGATGATGGAACCACAAGGAGTCTGAAAGTATCTATGGATGCATTTGCCTCATCCCATCACTGACCCTAACTCCCTATTACCCAGTTCCCTAAAAAAGAGTCAATCTGTTCTCAGTAGTTACAAAACAACCAGACTGTACTTTTCCCCTCCTTTTCCTCCTTCTTACTGGAACCTCAGAATAACACTTTGTCTAAATCTCCCAGACCCATGAGATTTTTATTTTAATTGGATACTAAATCATTCTCACCACACAATACAGCTAATTTTCCCTGTCAGCCCACACATACCTTGTTAGGACAGAATTCACACCCTAGGGAAGAGGGAGAAAACACAGTTACTAACATGTCCAGGATATTCTTACATATTCTGGTAACATTCTCACTGTCCACTGAAACAAAGTCAAAGAGAGTCAAGCCAGTTCCTCCCCAACAGTTCTCTAAAACATGATATAAATATGATGCATACTTTTACTTGAGTTACATTTAACCTAATAGACTGTTTTCTGTCTCACCCTACAAGGCTTTGGAGACCAAACATGAATAAACAATAGTTTTTTAATATTTATTTAATGTATGAGTGCTCTATCTTCATGTATGACTTCATGCCAGAAGAGAGCACCAGATCCCACTATAGATGGTTTTCAGCTACAATGTAGTATGTTGTTGATTTGAATTGAACTCAGGACCTCTAGAATAGCAGCCAGTGCTCTTAACACTGAGCCATCTCTATATATTCCATTTAAAGTTTAACATTCTATAGTCTGTTACTCTCTCCACCTTGGCCAGTTGTAGGTTTCACTATGTAACCCTTCTGGCCTGGAACTGAGTACATACACCAGTCTAGTCTTGAACACTTGTAGTTGAAAGGGGTAAACTAATAAAAGGACCAGACCCTCACTCAGCCCACTGCTTTAGCAGCCATGTCAGGCTATAGAAAAGACCTGTAGGCCTCTGACTCAGCACATGACACAAAGAAACTCTAGATCCCTTGGCCTCCTAGGTACTTGGTTCCTGGGAACTGTTTGGCCATGAAAGAAACTCCAGGGGAGACCAAAACCTCCCCTGTAGTCTCCAGGATACAGTTCTAAAAACTGCTGGTATCTATAAATAGCAGGCCACCTTCAACTAACAAGACAAAGCCATAAAAACCACAGAATGTTCCCTCTCAGCACTGACCAATGAAAACAATTGGTACACAGGTATTTCATGCCAAATTATGACTTGGAGAAATTCCCCTGGTTGTTCCCCAAATGACAACAAATCAGAAACCAACCCTTACCTACTGATGTAATCCTATGATTTTTGCCTTTAAAAACCTGGCAGTAGACAGGGAACTCACTTCCTCTCGTGGCTGCTACATCAACCAGCTAGATGAGGTCTCTATCATGGTTGGAGGAACAATAAACTTATTCATTTGCATTACTGTGTCTGTCTCTCCCTGGTGGTCTTTGGGGAGTCTCATGACTTAGGCACAAACAGTAGTTTCATTTATTTATGCATTCCAGCTGTGAGGATTAAAGAGTGAGGCAGCATACCTGGCTGTAGGTTGGGAAGCTTATATTTCATTTCCATTGTTGTATGTTTCTCATGTTTTTATTTCCATGTGTGAGAATCTCTCAAGTACTGGGGTCATGGGCAGTAGATGCTTGGCTACCTATGACTTTATTTTTATTCAATGTAAATCAACAAAATAGATCCCATGGTGAAAAGAACTATAGAGAAAAGTAATCATGCAAGTTATAGGTGAATTCTGATGATCAAACTTGTTCTCATAGAGACATTTGTGTGACCATGTTCACAGAGTCATTATCACAGTAGATAAAAATAGGATCAACCAGAAAACTTATCAACAGATGAATAGATAAAAATGATGATAAGCATATATGTGATAGTGATATATTGTTTATGATTACTAAAGCTTGCCTAAGGATACAGAAAGCAAAATTAGTCACAGGCAATGGAGATCAGGCAGTGGTGATAATACCATTAAACCCAGCAGCCATAAAGCTGGGGGGTGGGTACACACCTTTAAGCCCAGAAGTCCACATTAAGACTTAGACAGATCTCTGTTAGTTTAAGGCCACACTGACTACACAAAATTGATCCAGGCCTAAAAGAAACAGCTGACACAAATGTGATCTCAGCATTTCAGATCACACACCTTTAATCACAGCACTAAGGAGATAGAAACACAAGTAATATGGCTGGGAGGAGAAAGGGATATAAGGAGGAAAAGACAGGATCTGAGAGTTTTTTGCCCCGAGGATTCATGGAGAAAGGATTGCCATTTCAGGTGGGGAGAGGTAAGATCTACTGGCTTGGCTACTTTGCTTCTCTGATCTTCAGCTTGAAGTTAACCATTTGTGCTAACTTGGCTGAACTTGAAACTTTATATTAAACCATCCAGGCACAGAAAAAGACAACACTATGTAATTATTTAAATATGTCATGTACAAAAATTTATCTCACAAAGTAAAGATTAGAATGTATGGCACCAGGTGCTGGAGACAGAGAAAGGTGGGCAGATTCTTTGATCAAGAGATATAATTTCTGGGTTGTAGAGTATGGTGGCTCTACTAAGTATCTATGTGAACTAGTTTATTTTAGCCTATATCTATAATTCCATCTATTAATGGTGATGAATGGGTATTCTCAATAAAACAGACCAAAGACCTACAAAGATGACCCCAATTAACAATCTGAACAACAGAAAGGCTACCTGAAATGCCCTTCCCTGATAATGAAATTGATAACTAACTTATATGCCATAATAGAGCCCTGATCTAGTAGCTGATGGAAACAGAAGCAGACACCCACAGCTAAATACTGAGCAGAACACCTGGAATCCAGTTGCAGATGGGGAGGGTTAGGGGGGTGATAAGAAAAGGGATCAAAACCAGGCTACAGAAACCCACAGAGAGAGCTGACCTGAAAAAGGAGGAACTAATGAACCCCAAACTGATAGCTGGGAAATCAGCATTGGACTGACTCAGACCCCCTGAACATGGGTTTCAGTTAGAAAGCCTGGGCAGTCTAAAGGACCTCGGATAGTGGAACCAGGATGTAACCCTGATGCACAAAAGGACTTTGGGAGCACATTCCCCATGGAGGGATATTCCCTTAACCTAGAGGCAGGAAGGAGGGCCTAGTCCCTGCTCCAAATGACTTGACAGATTTTGATGATTCCTCCTGGAGGATATCACCCTCCCTGTGGAGTGGGGGGGGTGGCATGGGAGGGGGGTGAGGAGCATGGAAGGAAGGAAGGGAGAGGAAATTGGGATTGATATGTAAAATAAGAAAAGATAATAAATATATAAAAATGATAATAATTAAAGCAACACAATGGAAACCAATAAATTAAGATTATTAAAAGTTTCTAGAGCTACCAAGGTCTATAATATTGACAACTGAGATACCAGAAACAAATTCCTACAGAGATATTAATCATCAGAATATGACTTTGGTTTAAATTACTTAAAAAATATGATAGAGATAAAATGCAATACAAGCTTTATACATATAAAGATAAGAAGACACAATTCCTCTCAGAAACTCAAAGACAGAGGCAGGGAAAACTTTCTGACATCTTGGATAGTAACTCCCCTCCCACTGACCACACCACTGGAATCAGAGGCAGTGGGGGTGAAAGTCTCCGAATATCTAAATGGAGAAACAATGTCTACTAATTTCAAATTTAGATGAAATGACTAGTGAGAGCTAAAAATGTGCTTCACACATGCTCAGAATTACAGCAGGGTAATAACTACCCATGAGGCAACAGATCTTTAGCTTCTGTGCTGTACTTGACAAAGTAAAAAAAAAAAAAAAAAAAAAAAGCAGTTTCTCCTTGCTGTCCATGCATACAATGATTCCACTGACTCAGGAAAGAGTTCAGGGAGGGCACAGAGAGTCCTACTGTCTTCACTAGGAAGATCGCAGCATCACAAAATGAGGGAAATGGCTATCAGGTCTCCTGACACTCAGATGTTGGCGTCTCCTGCAGTCTTACCTGCAGCATTTCCATGGTTGAGCACTTCAGATGATGCTCAGCATCTAAGATTAGGTCTCTCACTGCCTCCCTGTGCTTCATCAGCTCATATTGAGACTCTACCAGGCTGTTCATAATGTCTTCCTTCTCTTGCATCAGCTTCTGCTGCTCACTCTTCTCCTTGAAGTCCAGGAAATCCCGCAGCCCTTTAAATTTCATCTGAATATATTTTGCGTCACTGTGTATTTGGTTCTTGAAGGACAAGAAAAGGGAGAGGAATTTAGACTGTCCTGATGGAACTGGAGGACAGAAAACCACTGTTGTGATGGGGACTCCTCACAGGGAGCTGAGATTGGGAAGGAAAGGGAGTCTTAGGGAAGTATGTATCTTCTTTCAGTGTTTGTTCATGACATTCCAAAACAAAGATCTTAGGTCACCTTTACCAAGGCCACCTGAGCCAATGTGGGATACCTGGGTGTGGCTCAGTGTTTACACAGCTGCCCCAGACTATTCCTGCCTGAAATACTCCTCATTCTACCTCTGAACCCCTCAGTTAACCTAACTCCCAAGAATAGAACTGTGACCATTCCCAAGCATCTTCCCAACAGTCATAGTTCCAGAAAACACCACATAGTGAGACTCAGGACTCTGCCCATTCTCACCAGGCCTCTCCATGGGGTCAGCTACTCACATAGCCAGGCTCATTTGTGATGCACTCACTGTGCAGCCCCAGCTCCACATCAACTAACAGGAAATGAAGAGTCAGGGAGCTTCTTGCCCAGGTCCCTCCCAGGCAGCAGGCAGGCTAACTCCCTTAGGAGTTTAGGTTCACACTTACCTCCCAGAAAGTTATCTCCTTGTAAATATCATCTTCCCATTCATCACATCTTTGCTCATTTGTCATCTGCATCTCCATAGCAGCCTGGAGCTTCTGCTGTGGGAGAGGAATTGTAGCAAAATTAATGCTGTGTGCTTAATAGGACTGCTGTTCCTAACCAAAGGCCAAGAAACATTTCTGGAAAGACAAAAAGCCTAAAACTGTTCTTTTAAAAACTTGTGCCATGGTTTATGCACATAAAGTATGTAAATCTTCAGTTTCCAGTTCAACTGATTATTTTTTCTTTTTCTTTTTTTTTTTTTTTTTTTTTTTTTTTTTTTTTTTGCTATACATTATCACCACTCCACTTCCCTCCTCCCCTCTCCATTTCTACCCTACCATCCATTTTACTCAGTAGCTTTTGTCTTTTTCCCTTTCCTAGATGGATCCATGTATGTCTCTCTTAGGGTCCTTTTTGTTACCTAGGTTCTCTGGGGTTGTGGCCTGTAAGCCGGTTGTCTTTTGCTTTATGTCTGCTATATACTTATGTTCAAAGCTGCTTCCCACTTTCTCTTCTATGAAGGTCAGTGTGGTTGGTTTTATGTTGAGGTCTTTGATCCATTTGGACTTGAGTTTTGTGCATGGTGATATGGATCTATTTACATTCTTCTGCATGTTGACATTCAGTTATGCCATCTTTTTTCCGTTTTATATTTTTAGCTTCTTTGTCAAACATCTGGTGTTCATAGGTATGTGAATTGACATCTGGATCTTCAATTCAATTTCATTGGTCCACCTGCCTGTTTTTAATGCAAAGCTGTTTTCATTACTGTAGTTCTATAGTAGAGTTTGAAGTCAGGGTTGGTGATGCCTCCAGAAGTTCCTTTGTACAGGATTATACAGGATTGTTTTGGCTATTCTTGGTTTTTGTTTTTCCATATGAAGTTGACTATTATCCTTTCAAGTTCTTTGAGAAATTGTATTGGAGAGAGTGGACAGCCTTACCTTGTTCCTGATTTCAAAGGGATTGCAATGAGTTTCTCTCCATTTAGTTTGATGTTGCCTATTTCCTTGCTGTATTATTGTAACCCTGATCTGTTCAACATCTTTATCATGAAGGGGTGTTGAATTTTGTTGAAGGCTTTTTCAGAATTGAATGAGGTTATCATGTGGTTTTCTTCTTTCAGTTTGTTTATATGGTGGATTACATTGATAAAATTTCATATGTTGAACCATTCCTATATCTCAGGGATGAAGCCTACTTGGTCAAGGTGGATGATTTTTTTTTTAATGTGTTCTTTCTTGGATTTGGTTTGCCAGTATTGTATTGAGTATTTTTGAGTCAATATTCATGGGGGAGATTGGTCTGTAATTCTCTATCTTAGTTGTGCCTTTGTGTGGTTCAGGTATCAGGGTAACTGTAGCCTCATAAAAAGTTCTGCAATGTTCCTTCTGTTTTTACTGTGTGGAAAATTTTGAGGAGTATTGGTATGAAGTCTTCTTTGAAATTCTGGTAGAATTCTGTGTTGAGATTATCTGGGCCTAGGCTTTTTGGGGTTGGGACACTTTTGATGACTGTTTCTATTTCCATAGGGGTAATAGGCCTATTTAATTTATTTATTTGGTCTTGATTTAATTTTGGTATGTGGTACTTGTCCAGGGAATTTTCCATTTCCTTTAAATTTTCCAATATAGTGGAGTACAGGTTTTTGAAGTGTGATCTGATGATTCACTGAATTCCCTCAGTGTCTATTGTTGTATCCCCTTTTTATTTCTGTTTTTGTTAATTTGGATGGTCATCTCTGCCTTTTGGTTACTTTGGATAAAGGTTTGGCTATCTTGTTGATTTTCTTGAAGAACCAACTCTTTGTCTCATTGATTCTTAGTATTATTTTATTTGTTTCTATTTTATTGATTTTAGCCCTCAATTTGGTTATTTCCAGATGCCTACTTCCCCTAAGAGGTTTGCTTCTTTTTGTTCTAGAGTTTTCAGTTGTTCTATTAATTTGTTAATGTGGGATTTCCCTAGCTTCTTCATGTAGGTGCTCAGTGCTATGATTTCATCTAATCACTGCTTTCATTGTGTTCTGTAAGTTTGGTATGTTGTGTTGTCATTTTCAGTGAATTTTAGAAAGTATTTCATTTCTTCCTTTATTTCTTCCTTGACCCAGTGGTGATTCAGTTGAACATTGTTCAATTTCCATAAGTCTATGGGCTTTCTGCAATTAGTGTTGTTGTTGAAAGCCAACTTTAAGCCTTGGTGGTCCAATAAGATACAGGAGATTATTTCAATTTTTTTTTATATCTGTTGAGGTTTGTTTTGCTACCTAGTATGTGATCAATTTTTGAGAAGGTTCTAAGAGGTGATGAGAAAAAGGTATATTCTTCTGTGTTTGCATGGAATGGCCCATCTGCTAGTTCTTTTATTTTTCTGTTAAGTTTTTGTCTGACAGACCTGTCCAAGGGTGAGAATGGGGTGTTGAAGTCTCCCAGTATTAGTGTGTGGCGCTTGATGTGTGATTTAAGCTTTAGTAATGTTTCTTTTACAAATGAGAGTATCCTTGTATTTGGAGCATAGATATTCAGGATTGAAATTCATCTTAATAAATTTTTCCTGTGATGAATATGAAATGGATTTCTTCATTTTTTTTATTGATTTTAGTTTGAAGTCTATTTTGTTAGATATTAAGATAGCTATACCAGCTTGCTTCTTTTGAAGCATTTGATTGGAAAATCTTTTCCCAACCATTTACTCTGAGGTAATATCTTTGTAGTTGAGGTATGTTTCTCATATGTAGCAGAAGAATTGATTCTGTTTTCATATCCAATCTATTAGCTTATGTCCTTTTAAAGGCAAATTGAGACCTGATGGGAGATATCATTTTGTAAATATGTTTCTTTTATTGGTTAATGAATAAAGCCCTGTTGGCCAATAGGAAAGCAAGATAGTCAGGACTAGGAGACAAGGAGGATTCAGGGGAGGAAGGAGGAGATTCAACATGTAGGGACTTGAGAGAGCAGAACTCCGGACCCTCCAGTAAGCCAAGACCACGTGGAAACATTTAGATTAATAGAAATGGGTTAATATTTAAGACAGAGCTAGCCAATAAGAAATGCTAGCAATAGGCCAACAGCATTGTATCTAATACAGTGTCTCTGTGTGTTATTTGGGGCTGGTGCAGCTGTGGGACCAGGCCAGAGGGAAAAACTGCTCATAACAGAGATCATTGATATTAAGGGATACTACTAATGAACAGTGATTGCTAGTTCCTGTTATTTTAAGGATTTTTGTTTTTGTTTTTGGTTTCTTTTTCTTTCTTTCTTTTTTTTTTTTTTTTTTTTTTTTTTTTTTTTTTTTTGTGATGACATTGTATGTGCATTTCTCCTCTTAGGGATTTGCTGGTGTGGGATTTTCTATTGCCTGTGTTTTTATGGATATAACTAACTTTCTTGAGTTGGAGTTTCCCTTCTAGTATTTTCTGTAGGTCAGATTTATGGATAGATATTATTTAAATTTGGTTTTGTTGTGAACTATCTTGAATTCCCCATTTTGGTGGTTAAAAGCTTTGCTGGATATAGTAATCTGGACTGGCATCAATGGTCTCTTAGCGTCTTCATAACACCTGACCAGGAACGTCCATGGCTTTTGTTGTTTCCATTGAGAATTGGGATCTGCCTTTATATGTTACTTGGTCATTTTCCTTTGCAACTCTTAATAGTCATTATTTATTCTGTATGTTTAGTGTTTTGATTTTTATGTATCAAGGATTAAGGAGACTGGTTTTTGTTTTGTTTTGCTTGTTTTTTGTTTTTTTTGTTTGTTTTGCTTTGGTTCAGTCTATTTGATATTCTATAAGCTTCCTATACTTTCATATGTTCATAAGTTTTCTTCTATGATTTTGTTGGATATATTTTCTGTGCCTTTGAGCTGAACTTCTTCTATCCCTATAATTCTCAGGTTCAGTTTTTTTTTTCATGGTGTCCCAGATTTCCTGGATATTTTGTGTTAAGAATTTGTTGGAGTTAACATTTTCTTTGGTTGATAAACCTATTTCCTCTATTGTATCTTCATGGCCAGAAATTCTCCCTTCCATTTCTTGTATTCTATTGTTTATTCTTGCCTCTGTAGTTTCTGATCATTTACCCAAATTTTCCATTTCCAGAGTTCCCTCTGTTTGTGTTGATCATCATTAGACTGGATTTTAGGTAATATGAATGAATATGACATAAGCATTGAAAGAAGATAAATAAGAAATAAATTGGCAGGTCTTCTGCTCTTGGCTTTTCTTGGCCATTGACTCAAATTCACAAGGATAGTTCCATGACATTTTTTTCTAACCTAGTACTTGTAGTACAGGTTAGAATTATACAATTAAGTGGAATAAATCATGCCTTGTTAGGACTCTAAATATAAGAAAGGATGGAATGATATATCAAGCCTGTAGTGTATGATGTCCCCGTAATTGACCTGTCACACTAAGTGGAGATTTCTCAAATGTTACTGTCTCCTGCTCTGTGTCCCACACCTTCCCACTTCTTACCTTATACTCATAGGCCACCTCTTCAATGAGAGCTGTTTGGTGACCACGGTGATCCTGAGACCTCTCACAAAGCCAGCATATGGCCACCATATCCTCCTCACAGAAGAGCTTGAGTTTCTCTCCATGTTTTGTGCAGACATTGACCTTCTCCTCCTCCTCTGGGCTTGACTTGATCCCTGTTAGGCTCTCTACTATGTTGGCCAGGTGTCGATTAGGCCTCAGATTCCAAAATAGGTAAGTAACTCCACACACAGGGCAGATGCACTCCCCTTCTTTGCCTTTGATGGATTCATAGTTCAGTGTGATGCAGGCTTGGCAAAAGCTGTGACCACAATCTGCACTCACAGGTTCCACCATCAGGTCCAGGCAGATAGGACAGGTCACCTCCTCCTTGATCATCACCAGGACTGATGAGGCCATTGTTGCTGTGATCCTCTTTCTTCCAGGTCTGATTCCTAACACTTCTGCTCAGGTACCTGTGTTATTGGGATAAGTAAGAAAGGGGAAATGAGCATGGACACAGTGCAGAGATGAATGAACGACCTCAATGATTAGCTAAAGAACAAAGGAGAGAAACATGGAAAAAAGTTTGGTGACATGGCAAACAGATCATTTTGTCATACTTTCAAGTCCTCTGCTATATTTCATCCCAAATGGCAAATTTCATTAGCAGGATTGTCATTTCCTTTTACTGAAGAGAAGGAAGGGTTTCATTCCAACAGCCTCATGTAACCTCCCTTCTATCCTTCCCTTTCTTTCCCAGGACAGCATCACATCTTCAGTGTTAAAAGCATCAAATACTCATATCGCAGTCACTGTACTTGCTCCTTCATCAGCACCAGTCAGTGTGACTCTCTCTGATCCTCTCCTTATATGTCTCTGACCTGAAAGAGCTGGTACTGCCCTGAAGTCCCATCTCCTAATACACACAGGCAACAATTTCTCTTATTGCCATTTAATAAATAACAACATCTGTGATGGAAGCAGTTTGGAAAGAACAATGCCCAAATTCCCAAATATTGTCTATAAATGTTTGTTTTCATTTGAATGGGGTTGGTTATAAATGGTCAATGACCACAACCAATCTCTTTAAAGGTAAAAAGGGGATTATGGTATAGATATGAATACTTTGTTGTGGAATGGCTTTTCATTTATTGATACAAATTTAAGGTCAATTTTATGATATGTATATTTTTCCTCTTGTTTAGGTATTGTGTTTATATAGCTCATTTAAAATGTATAATTTAGTACATATTTTAGATAGTTACCTATAATAGTCAAAACATTAGTTGGGTTTTTCCTATAATAGTCAAAACTTATAGTTAAGTTAGTTAGGATTTCTAGATATACAGGGATATATTTGAGATGAATAGGCATTCTTCAAACCTTTCAAAGACCTATAGAATATGGCATTTAAAATGGTTTAGGGTTTTTCTTAACAGTGAGGCACAACTGCTCCTGGCAATACAACCTGCATCAGAAAGGAAAATGGACACCAAAGAAAATTGTTATGGAGTTTACTTCCAATATGGCAATACTAGCCATTTGGGCAAAATACTGCTCTTATCTAGACTGTTTGATTTTATGCTATATAAACTGGACATGTAGGACCCACAGGAAAGTGACTGCTGATACAAAATGAACAGTGCTACAGGTTTCCTGCTTCATGGAAGAGTCTCCCAGACATTCTGCAGGACACAGAGAAAAGTCAAACTGCCAATACAGGTGGACAGTTTAGAGTTTCTTGCTTTGCTGAGGAGTCTGCCAGACACACCATGACCTACAGACTGAACATCAAACATTACAGAAGAAATTCAGGTGACCGGTCAGGTAGCAAGATGTCTCTTGTCCTTTCTAGAGTTTATATATTATCCTTCTGTGGTCTTTAATGGAGTTGAAGGCAGATAGTTATGGTTATAGTTTTCTTTAGTTAGGATTAAAGATAAGTTACATATAAGACTTTAGACTCACAAAGATCATATAGATAATAAAATAATTTCTTTAAATCATGCTAAATGTTAATGGACTAAATATTGTAAACTATAGTTCTTATTTGATAACTGTTTTGTTATATATTTTGCTATGTTAATGTTAAAACCCTTTTTATTTTAGAACAGAAAAGAGCAGATGATGGGAGATGTCATTCTGTAAATATGTTTCTCATATTGGTTAATAAATAAAGCACTCTTGGCCAATTGGAAAGCAAGATAGACAAGACTAGGAGACAAGAAGGATTTGGGGAGAGGTAGGAGAGATTCTACATGTAAGACCAAGAGAGCAGATCTTCAGACTCTCTCTTTGGTAAGATAAGACCACGTGGAAATATTTAGATTGATAGAAATGGGTTAATATTTGAGACAGATCTAGCTGATTAGAAATGCTAGTAACAGGCCAACAGCTTTATATTTAATACATGGTCTCTGTGTGTTATTTGGGGGTGGCACAGCTGTGGGATCAGGCTGTGGAAAAACTTCTTTTAACATGTATGTATGTGTTTAATGCTTCCTGGCTGTAGTGGGTAGCATGCGGATAAGAATTTAACTGGTTATTCTTGAATTTCTTTTACAATAAACCAATTTTTATAATCTTGAAAAAAAACATGTATGTATGTGTTTGTACACATGGTTAAGCCCTGCACTAGATATATAGAGATGACCAGTTACAAGGTTCATTTCAATACACTGAAAGGGAATGAAAACCATCCCTTTAGAGTCGGCTTTTGGAGGTCCTGCTCTACCCCATAAGTTTACCAAAGGAAAAATAAATAACAGCCAAAAGAGAATTGGTAGCCAGAACATTACGTGTGTAGAATTATGCCTCCAACCACTGTAGGTTCTGAGCATTATGTGTCTGTAAATGTTGAGAATTTATCTTGGTCTAGAAATTTGACAAAGACATTCATGGGAAACTCCATGAATAAATGCCAGCAAAATAATGAGTTCAAAACCACATCGAAAATCATACTAATTATACCAATTAAATTAATTCTCCCCCCATAACAGACCATATTAATTCAGTATGCAAAAGCAGTAGGCAATCCATACCTCATTAGCAAATGGAAGATAAGGAATTCTGCCCAGGTATGGGTCCCATGCTTGGGGTGAGCATTGGGCTAAAGTGCAGGTCAAACACCCCCTTCACCTCCATGGAACTTCCTGGGTCTTTTCTAAGCACACTGGACCCACCAATCCATGTGGGACCACCTTGAGGCTGCACTCAACTGATCTTTGGGCCCCATCACCTGCCCTTTACTGGAGAGAGATCTCCAAGAGAGCTTGGATAATCCACAGTTACAGACATTGAACTCCTGACCCACCTACACCCACTGGGAGAGCAGGGTAGAGACAGACTCCACCTGCACCCACTGAAAGAAGAGATGGGAAGACAGCAATAAAAGAAGACACCCAACAATAGAAAGACCAGTATGACACCACCAGAATCTAGGGACTCTACACCAATTAGACCAAAACACACAAAAGCAGATGAAGCAGAAGAGAACAACTTAAAAAATAACTTCACAAAAATGATAGAGGCCCTCAAAGATGATGTGAGAAAATCCCTTAAAGATATGGAAGAAAAAAACAAATAAAAAATTGGAAGAAATAGAGGAAAAGACCAAGCCAAAAAATGCAAGAAATGAACAAATCTCTTAAAGAAAGTAAGGAAAGCCAAGAAAAAAACAATCAAACAGGTGAAGGAAAAAATTCAAACAGTTCAAGACCTGAAAACTGAAATAGAGACAATAAAGAAAACACAAACTGAGGGAATGCTGGAAATAGAAAAACTGGGTAAGGAACTACAGATGCAAGCATTGGCAACAGAATACAAAAGATGGAAGAGAGAATCAGGTGCTGAAGATAAACCAGAGGCGATAAATTCATGAACCAAAAAAAAAAAAAAAAAAAAAAAATCCTAAATCGAACAAATCCTTAACACAAAACATTCAGGAAATATGGGACACTGTGAAAAGGCCAAATCTAAGAATAATAGGCATAGAAGAAGGCAAAGAAGCCCAACTCAAAGGTGCAGAAAACATATTCCACAAAATCATTAAAGAAAACTTTCCCAATCTGAAGAAGGATACGCCTATGAAAGCACAAGAAGCATACCAAACACCAAATAGACTGCCCCCCCCAAAAAAGGCCCTTGCCACATAATAATCAAAACACCCAACATACAGAATAAAGGAAGAATATTAAGAGCAGTGAAGGGAAAAGGCCTTGTTTCTTCCCATGGAGTAGGCCTTAAATCAAATTTGAAATTGGTTGGCTACTGTCACACATTCTGTGTCACCATTGTTCTAGTAGAGTTTGCAGACAGGACAGACTATAAGAAAAGGCTTTGTGACTTGGTTGGTGTTTACATTTCTTTTGGTCACCTGCAAAGAACTTTTCTGCACCAAAGAGACTAGAATGTAGGGGTGAAGCCTCCATCTAGGCACCAGCTTAAGTTCTTCATGGTCAACGAATTTTATGGCTGATGTCCTAAGCAACAAGATTCTACTGTCAGTTTCTAGAGGGCAACCCTTTGTCTTAGCAATAGCCTGGGTTGTTTGGGGATTTCAATGTGACTGCCTTGGCCAACAACTCAATGAATGCAACCAAGTCCCACCACTGGTAGTCATGTTTTGGGGACAAGAGATTGAGAGTTGCAACTCCACATTCCCCATTAATAGGACACTTAATCAGGATTGCTTTAATATATCATAAGTGGTTTCTGTTGGGATCTCTAGCTCAGGGGCCCATTGCATGTTCAAATATCACTCCTCCAATTACAAACCCTGCCTTTTGTGCTCCTCCCCTGGAGCTGCTGTATCCCCATACTCTGCCCCTTAGAAAGTCCAACAAGGGTCAACCCTTCCTGCAGGGCTTGTCAAGACCATGCCTGTAGGCTACTTAAGGCCTGGTCCCAAGACCTACCACATGCTTTCCCTCCTGCCTTCCTGAGTGTCACTAGGGTGTTGCTTTTCCCTGTTTATTAAACCTGAATTGTTAATTCGGCTTGGTTGGCTTATCGCATCAGCGGTGGAGGATACCCAATAACCAGAGATCCAATACTTACACTTTCAATTGCACTAGGTTGATATAACATCCTTCAAATGCTCCCCCACTCCACCATTCCAGGAGAATTAATCTTTTTTTTTTTTTTTAAGACAACAAGGAAAGATAACTAGGTTTGTTCATTTCAAACAATAAGGCTGTAGGCAGCATGTTTCTTTTGTGATTAGAGTATGTGATGGCTAAGGAAAACCCATTCTTATTTCCTAAAAGAGAAATTCCTGGCAACTCTCACTCCTTGCTACCTTCCCCCAAATTATAAAAGTTCTATGAGATAATTAACTGCTTCCTCTGGATTTTGTGAACCCATGTATTTCTGTGTAGCAGGGAGTGAGAGACCTCCTCCAGCTGAGGGGAGTATAAGAAGTTTCTCATTCAGATACACATTCCACACAAATGAGATAATTGTGCTGCCA